ACATTTGTGGCAACTCCCACCCTTTCTTCAAGGACTATTTACTTTGTTCTGTCTGCAACCTTCAAATTTTTCAATTATTGCTATTTTACTGGCTTCTAACCCATAGTATATGATCAAGTTTTCATCTCAAACTGTCTTTTTGATCTACTGCCCTGAATCCTGAGAACCAGCAGTTTTGAAGCAAAAGTCACTAAGGACATCCTACTTACAGATCCAAGTCATGTTTTCATAAAAACAACTAGCATGTATTAACACAAACCAGTAACCTTCCACACGTTGTGCCTGACAGAACTTACCTGATTCAATCCTCACAGCAGCACTATTCTGAGGATTAAAAGAAGCACTTGGGTCCCCAATTTGTGGATGAGCAAATGGAATTGTGAGACCAAGGTCTCGGGACTATTAGGGACAAAACCAGGACTCTCTAATACCTCTCATTATAGTATCTGACCTCTTATTTCTTGAAATGCTTTTCCTTTAGCGACAAAGAAATAGAGAGAGAGAGAGAGAGAGAGAGAGAGAGAGAGAGAAATAAAGAAAAAGAGAGCGAGAGAAAGAAAGAAAAAGAAAAAAGAAAAGAAAGAAAAGAAAAGGAAAAACAGAAAAGAAAGAAAAGAAAAGAAAAGAAAAGGAAAAGGAAAAGGAAAGGAAAGGAAAGGAAAGGAAAGGAAAGGAAAGGAAAGGAAAGGAAAGGAAAGGAAAGGAAAGGAAAGGAAAGGAAAGGAAAGGAAAAGAAGGAAAGAAAACCGCTCCCCACCTAGTTTTTCCCTTCCTCTTTTCCTCTGGACCTTCTGGTTGTTCTGTTTCTCTGTATTTCTCTAGCTAACTCTCCTCAAGCTTCTATTTCCTGCTTAAATCTTGGTACTTGCCCTAGAAACATATCAACTTTTGTGTGCAATCACCTATGTGCTGGAAGCTGCTAAATCAGTTCAGCCAGCCAGCCAGCCAGCCAGCCATCCTTTTGCTCACCTACCTACTATCTAGCCAAGGACCTCTCTTCTCAGAACTTGTATAGCATTATCACTGGTCATCGATCTCCTGTTGCCTTTTCTATGAGCACTTCATATTCCACATGTCAAAAACGGAAGTCAGTCACCCCTGCATCTCAAATCTGCCTCTCCCTCAAGTCTGTTCCCTATCCTCCTGTCCCACCCTCCCCCACTCCCCCATCAAACCACCTAATCTCAAGGACTCCGCCTCCTGAATAGCTCCATGACCACACTTGTTCTTTAGCTTACTGCTGCCTCTTTAGTGGTAAGGTCCTCATCTTCTATTACCAAGGTCATTTCAATATCTTCTCAATGGCAGTTACCATTTCACATTCCTCAGATCCATCCTTCTAGATTGCTGAGAGAGTTGTCTTCTCATTATATCATCCCATTGCCTAAAACAACCTCGGAAAGAAAATGGTCCACTCCTCAGTATGGCAAACAGCCCTCTATGTTCTGACTCCTGCTTACAACCACTCATCTTTTACATCACCTTCTTCCAAGCTTTTATAGTCTGCTGCTTCCATGCAGAAGTGGCCACTTCCAAATATCTGTGTAGAGGACTCTGTGCACATCGTTATCACAGCACTTGCACCATTTATAGCACTCTCCTGTACCCACGGAAACTAACCTCTTTCCTATCCATCTCTCTCTTGTTAACCCAGAGCCTTCTCAGGGTCTCAGCTGTCTCCCATCCCCACAGCACAGTGCATGGCACAGAGTAGGTTTTCAACAAATATCTGTTGAAGAGAAACGTGAATATTTATAAATGCTTCAGATTAAGATGGTATGATCACCACTGTTTTAGAGACTAAATTAAATTACAACTCCTGCATGGGTAGGTATGCAAAATAATATTTAAATAACTAAACAAGTCCCAAGTGTGGTTAGCAGATCACATTATTCATTTCTAGCTTTCAGGAAAAGGAAATGGTAACAGCATTACATATGGTCAGAATTCCAGCGGTAGAAAGTGGTGTGTAAAACATACAATACATATCCTAAATGAAGTCAATATGGGCCTGTCATAAAAGCAATATTTTTAAAGCACTGCTCCAATTTCACAGAAAAGTGAACAATTTTCAAAAGACAGACAAAATTTTCTATAATAAAAGAAAATGTAATTGTGTATTTAGAAGCCATGTTTCTGAAAACTTCAACCATACATCTTACAATCCAGTCCAGAAATACAGCATGTAAAGACAAAATATCTGTCACAAAATCCATAGGCTTTCTACTCAGGCAACAGTCCAGATCGTACCAGGGAAAAGGAGACAACAGATAATATAGCAGGAGGGCCGCTCGCAGCCTGACAGCACTAGAAAGTGATAGCTGATAACAGAAAGAGGACCCAGAAAAACCATAAAAAGAAGAATGGTACTTCTGTCTCCATTCTAGTATTTCAAGCCAGCAGGCTGAGACCATTTACAATAAACAAAAAACAGCTCTATACACCTCAACGAATAGTGCTATTCAATTCTTTATGAATCCACGCTCATAAAGATAACCCAACAAAAGAAAAATAACTTTCTAATATCCTCCAAGGGAACAAGGAACACAGTAAAATTTCACTTGTTTGTTTCAAGGTTTCAGTAATTAATGGAGTAAGGGGTCAGCTTTCCAGAAAATGTGCCTATTTTAACATGCACCAATTCAGATGATGTTAAAAAAAAAAAAAAAAAAACTGAGATACCCAGTATAAACAACCAAAACTTCTCACTCTGCTCATTTATCTTGGAATTCTCCAGGAGCATGCTGAAAACTGAGTATGAAACAAAACAGTAACAAATTTATTTTTGATATTTAAGCACATAAATAATTTTGAAAAGCAGTAGGAAGATTGAGAGTGGGGATGTTTGGCAATATTTAAATGGAACATAAACAAAAGGTTGTTATAACTTAAATTTAATCACTGAGAAATGTGAACTGGCAAACTATAAAAAATCCAGAAAATAAATTTTACAAAAAACAATTTTTGTTGAAAATATCTTTATTGCAATGCTATATTTATCCTAACATGAGCACCACGTATAAATACAAGAATGATGCTCTGGAGATTTTGGATTTAGGTAAAATTTGAACCTCTGGAATAGTATTAGCTGGAAAAAGTCAAAAGTATGGCGTTACTCAGCCGTATCCAAGTTGTAAATAGAGATTCAAGTGTTTTACTAAATGTCAGGGCACCATGCTTCACCACAGTATTAAACACTCCTATTGCACTAGGTCACACACTTATGTCAACTTAACCTTGTTGGTGGCAGGCAAACCAAATAATGCTAGCGTATTTCTCTCTAGCACTGCCTAGAATAGTTGCTGAAGTATATCCTAAACAAAACTTCTAACCACCAAGAGATAGCTTCTACCGGAGAAATCTAAGGCTTTAATTTACCGCATACTATTGCAGTGCCTGGCTTTTCAACTAATTTAAAAATCTCCCAAGAACACGGTGTGATTACTCCTAATGCTGTTAACTACAGTTTAAAAGCCCTGCCCAGCCTTCCTGCAAATGGTAGGCATGTATTCCCAGGATATGTGGGAATGAAGCATGCGGATTCTGAATGGATACAGATTTGGGGGGTGAAGGGGACAAGAAATGGTCAGACATAAAAACAACAGCAAACTTGGTATCTAGCCAAACTACCATACATCCCAAGTCATTCATCTTTGGAAACAAAACTTGTACAAGGTGACAGCCTCAAGGGGCTGAAAATTGAGTAATGTGGTTTTGATAACCTTTTCCCGTTGGAACTCAAGTGTAGAGGAGGAAAAAAAAAAAAAAAGAAAGGAAGGAAGAGAAAGAAAAAGGCTCTCCACTGCTAACGCTGGCTCCTAGCAAAGGTGACTCTCCAGATCACACCAGGCTTGAAAACGCCACCCATCCCCTGGATACCTGCTCTCCCCGTGAGAACGCCAGTCTCGCGGTCCCCCCTGCCGCCTTGCTGATGAGACACTCGAAGTTCTGCTTCTTCACCTGCTCAGCTCCCTGGCGGCCACCGCCACCACCACCACTACCAGTACTGCCAGCCCCACCCCCCAGCCTCCGGGATGAGAAAGGGTGATAGGAACCCCGGGTCCAAGTTCAGCAGCTATACTCTCCCTAAGCGGAGAGCATAGTGCAGCACGCTCCCCTCGCTCAACTTCATGAGCCCTCAGTTAAAACAGTAAACGTGTATTTACACACTGAGCACCCGGCTTGCGCCACCCCTGGGTGTCCTTTTGCCCGGGCGCACCGCGCGGACTGGCCCTCTCCGAGGCGGGCAGCCTTCTTTCCAAGTCCAGACCGACTTCCCCGGCCCCCTCGCCGTTCCTCCAGCCCGGGAAAGGCGCCCTTCTCCCCTGCCGCGCGCCCTTCTCTTGGCCCGCCCGCCAGCGCTCCCTTCCTCTCTCACCCCAAGGGCCCGCACGCGCTTCTCCTCAAAGCAAGGGCGCCCCACAGGTCCATTCCTGCGGGTCGCGCGGCTCCGGATGCCAGCGTGTGGTAAGCAGCCCCGACACGCTCCCCACCCCCAACGCGGCCGGCGCGAGTTCCCTCTTTGGGGCGGCCGAGAAGAGGAGAGTCGGAGAGGTCCCCAAAGCAACTCCCGGGGCCCCGCCGTCGCCGCCGGACACCCGGTTCGGGCCTCGGGGCTCCGCTGCGCACGTCTCTCCAGGGTCAAGTGCAAGGTCCTCCGTCAGATCGGCGCCCTGCAATCTACCGCTGCGGGTAGGCAAGACGCGGCCGGACCCTCCAACGGGTGCCAGATGGGAGCGAAGAGGTAGCGGGCGTGACCCGGGGGGCCGCCTACAAAGACCTCCTTTACACTTCTCCAGCTCCGGCCTCGCTCTCTACCCCGCACCCCCACCCCCCCCACCCCGCCACCGACTCCTAACTCCCTCAGCCCAACCTCAGCAGAGCTTTCCAATTTCTACCCCCCACCCCGCCCCCGGATCGCCGCGAGCAAAACAACGCCCCTCTCCTCCTCCCAGCCCGCCCCCCTTCCCGCCGCGGGACGGCGTGGCCCCTCCGCTTACCTCGTCTCTCGACTGCGGTGCGTGAGTTTGAGCGTGTCTCAGCCGCGTAATCGTATCCGGGACAGGAGGGTGCGCTGGATCAGGTGTCGCCGCCTTCGGTGGTTCGGGGGCGTGAAGGAGGCTGCAGAACCGGCGTTGGCTTAGGACGGGCTCTCTGGGCTCCCGGCTGATGGCAATGCTTTAACCGTGCCCTCCCTCGGGCCCGCAGCGCGCCTGCTCCTCCGCAGCTCCCCCGCGGGCGGGCAGACGGGCGGACCCCCCCCTACACACACACACACACACACACACACACACTCCTCCCCACCCCTGCCAGCCGCGCCCCGCCCCGCGCGCGGTCAGCGGAGCCCGAGCGCGCCCCTGTCCTCCCTGCCTGGCTCAGCGGGGCACGACGCCGGCCGCCAGGCGCTCAGCCTCGCATCACACGCCTCGGGCTGCCAGCGCCTCCCGCTCCCGCGGCGGGAGCATGGACGCGGACGCGCCTCGGCGCCACGCGCTCACGCGCCAGCAGGCTGCCGCCAGGGTCGGCGTCCCGGGAGCGGGAGAGTCGCCCGCGGAGCCGCGGCAGGCGGGCGAGCAGGGGCTCTCGCCGAGCTTCCCGCCGCGCTCAAGCCGCGACCCCCTGCGGGCGCGTCCGTCGCCCCCCTAGGCGGCAGCCCGCCTTTTTTCTCCTCTCGCCGGCGCCCTGAGCTCGGTGTGTGTGGCTGGCGCGCTTTGCCTCACCTTCTCAGCTTCCTCGCGAACCCAATCAAAAGTTCCACTTGGGCAAATGGGTGGGGGCGATAAGCGCCAGGAAGAGGAGGGGGTCGGGTCCCTGAGGCGAGCGGGCACCGGCGCGGCTGCCAACCGCGGGCTTCGCTTTGTGGAGGACGGTGGAGAACGCGAGTTTGGGTCGGGGGAGTCCCGTGAGAAGTAAATTGGGTTGCTGGGTACAGGAACAACCCTCCTCTAGGTCTCCCGCTGAAAAGAGCCATTTATGCCTTGCCGGGCTGAGCCTGTGGTGATTTTATTCTGACTAATCAGTGTTTGCCAGCCCCATATCCTTGCCAAGTTGGCGTCTGGGCCAGGAAGCAGCTCTTCCCAGGGCTTCCGTGGGGCGGCCTTCCTGTGGACCGCGGCTCCAAGGCGTCTTCGGCGTCTGGAGGTAGCTCCTGGGCTTCGTGGGAACCAGCGAAGTGTGAGAGAGCTGTTGGCTTTTCCGCTCAGCCTGGTAGGCGTTGTACACACAAGACTGGAGCTGAGTGGTTTATGTCCCCACTGTGAGGAGAGCAAAAGGCAGGTAGAACATGGGTTCCAGGAGCCAAGATGCCCCCACTGCACGCAAGCGTGGTGTGTTTAAGCTTGGGAAATCACAAAATGCCAATTCTGGCTGCCCTTTCCCTGCAGGTTGGGACTTTGCTCCCTGAGGTAAGAAAACAGAAGTTGTGTTTTTACTGTATCTGTTATTGCGGAACAATAAATAAAACACTGATGTCACCTGCTATTATTTTTTAAAACATTTTTTAATTAATATTTCTTGTCTTTTTTTTTTAAAGATTATTTATTTGAAAGGCAGAGTTACAGACAGGCAGAGGTGGGGAGAGAGAGGTCTTCCATCCGCTGGTTCACTCCCCCAATGACCACAATGGCTGGAGCTGAGCTGATCCAAAGCCAGGTGCCAAGAGCTTCCTCCGTCTTTCCCACGTGGGTGCAGGAGCCCAAGGACCCTTTGCTGCTTTCCCTGGGCCATAGCTGGATAAGAAATGGAGCAGCCAGACCTTGAACCAGCTCCCATATGGCATGCCAGCACTGCAAGTGGTGGCTTTACCTGTTAAGCCACAGAGCGGGCCCCAACCTGCTATTATTTTTTAAATCTGTGTACGTTTTAAGAAGTGCAGTGTCTGAAGTCCCTGAACTCAAGAGGGTTCACAGGGAAACATATTTTCACATGTAGATTTCAAAAAATCTACTTCCCTTCTTTGCTGATTAAACACTGGAAAACATCTTTCTGGCCTTTGTACCAGGCCTAGGGAATTTACGGTCTTGTATGTTTATTTCTTGTTCATGTCATACCATAACCATTTGACCTACCAGGTACATCCTCGGACTACCTGGTCCCAAGCCTGTTGTGTCCTGAAGTCTCCAGCTTCAGGCTAATGCAGTTCTTAGGAGGCAAAGGTTGACTCAGGTAGTTAGATACATGTGGTAGACCCAGGTTGAGTTCCCAGCTCCTGGCTTTGGCCCGACTTATTCTAGGCTGCTGTGGGCATTTAAGGAGTAAGCTAACAGATGGGTTTCTCTCTGTCTCTTTCTCCTCACAACTTAAATGAGTACATTTCGTAAAATTTGCACTATAAAGGCCTGGTGTTGCAGCTAGCTCCTTAAAGCTGTCACCTGCAACACCAGCATCCCATATGGGCACTGTTTAGAGTCCCAGCTGCTCCACTTCCAATCAAGTTCCCTGCTAATGAGCCTGGAAGAGCAGCAGAAGATGGCCCAAATGTCACTCACGTGAAGACCTAGCTGAAGCTCCTGGCTGCTGACTTCAGCCTCGCCCAACCCTAGCTGATGCAGCCATTTGGGGAGTGAACCAATCAATTGAAGATTCACTTTCTCTCCCTCTCTCTCTCTACCTCTGCCTCTCCCTCTCTGTAATTCCTCTTTTTGAATAAATAAAGAAAGAAAATATTTGAATAATTGTACTAGAAAATGCCCCAAATAAACATTAAACAAATAACAATCAAGAAAGAACTTAAGATTTTTTCTTTAAAAAATTTAAAATGTAGATTCCAAAATCTGCATTTGAAAATATATCCCCCTGTGAACCCTCTTGAGCTCAGGTACTTCAGATACTGCACTTCTGAAAACATACACACATTTAAAACAATTCATTTTCTTAAATGTCAAGCTTCTGACAAGCATTTGTTTTGCTAATGCATATGTGAATACTTGATAAAAACTTGATCATCAGAAATTAAAAACTTTTTTACTTTATGAAAATCTTTCTAAAATGCATGCCACATCTTTGTGATTAGTGAAATCACATAAATTGGCCATCTTATGAGATTTAGTCAGACTTGCAGGTGGAAAAGGCATTGCTATGTATTAGCTGTCCAAGTGCATCTAGCATCTGTCTATTGTCTTCCATTCCTTACAGCTCTGCACAAAGAGCTGTCCATAACTTAAAATTAGTTCAATTGTATAAATAGATGAATTGCATTCTTGTAGCTTGGCATTGGCATTTTAAAAACAAGAAATTAATAACAATCACTGTCTTTTAATTTTTTATTTATTTTAGAAGTAGAGGGACAGAGAGATACAGATAACTCACCAAACCCAGTTCACTCCTAGATGATCACAGCTCTGAAACCAGAGCTAAGGAATCAATATGTTCCTCACATGAGTGGCAGGGACCCAACTACTTGAACCATCACCAGCTGCCTCCTGGGGTGCATATTAGCAGGAAGCTGGAATCAGGATCAGAACCAGACTGGAACCCAGGCTCTCCAAGATAGCATCTGGTATCCAAGTGGCATCTTAACCACTGCACCAAGTGCCCACCCCTGGAAAAAGGTATTAAAATTCACTCATTATTCGTGTAGATTACATGTGTCAATATGCTCAATGTTTTTTTTTTTAATGCTTGTTATGATATTTTTGGACAAGTGAGCTCATATGATTTTATTGGAAAATATCAATAACGATATGAAAGATATTAACTTGATCTGGTAATCATTAAAAATTAACTCTGGAACCAGACTACCCCATATTGAATTTCAGCCTCACCATTTGTCAGTTCTGTGACCTTTGGCACGTTACCTAGCTTCCTTGATTTCCTTGCATACAAAGTGAAATAATAATAGCATCTACTTCATAAAGTTATTGTAAGAATTATAGGAACTAAATTGTAAGTTGCAGAAGAAACAGCACCTGGACCTAGTAAATGACCCAAAATTTGGCCATTTAAATTATTTACCTGCAACTGTCACTGGCAATGGGGAAGTTAATCAACATATTAAGTTCTTTTGTGGCTGTTGTGTTTATTGACAGATTTAATAAGGGATTTTTCTATTACAGGAGAAAATGTCCTGTTTTTAGCTTCTTTGCTATTTTTCTTGGACTTATTTTTCATACAATGTTCTAATGCTTTGCCTTTTACTATAATAAGTGAACTAGTTAGTACTTTTTACAAAGAGTTCTTAGATTCAATTTACTCACCTCACTGGTTCTACTCTTTTTGTTCATCTAGCAAGTGTTTTTCTAATCACCCAACTTATGCTCAGTGTAGAGAATTTTCCTCCTACACCCCCCAAAATTCTTTCATGGATTCTGCCCTTGGCAGGAGAATCAGCTTATAAAAACATAGAAAAATGTGAGTGTATAAGTGTAGTTTCTTAAAATGTAATCAAGTACCAGTTGCATAAAAAATACAATAAGTAGTGAGGGAAAAGAGAAAAGAAGATTAATACTAACTAGACTTGTTAAAAAAGGATCTTGGGGGGCCGGCACTGTGGCTCACTTGGTTAATCCTCCACCTGCGGCACCGGCATCCCATATGGGCACCGGGTTCTAGTCCCAGCTGCTCCTCCTCCAGGCCAGCTCTCTGCTATGGCCCAGGAGGGCAGTGGAGGATGGCCCAAGTGCTTGGGCCCTGCACCCACATGGGAGACCAGGAGGAAGCACCTGGCTCCTGGCTTCGGATCGGCGCAGCGCTGGCCATAGCAGCCATTTGGGGAGTGAACCAATGGAAGGAAGACCTTTCTCTCTCTCTCTCTCTCTCACTGTCTGTAACTCTACCTGTCAAATAAATAAATAAATAAAAGATTAAAAAAAAGATCTTGGGAATGGTTTCAGTAGAAGTAAATGGTACTTGGTGAGAATAAAATAATCTATTATTATTCTTTCTGGGCAATTTTGATAATCCTAAAAGTATATAATATTAAAAATATCCTAAACGTGAAATACACTGACTTGTTCAATTATATTTTTCACATGATTGAACAGAAAATTGAGCTCTATAGGAGCAGACCCTGCAAGACAGTCCAGCCATAAATATGAATGTGGTGATGTCCTCTGCACCTGCAGGAACTTGGTATTGTAAGACGGAAGAGTAAATAAATGAGACATACAATCAGACAACTATGATGAAAGGACAGAAGTACTGCAAAG